GCGCATCCACACCGGCGAGCGGCCCTTCGCCTGCGCCGAGTGCGGTAAGGCCTTCCGCCAGCGGCCCACGCTCACGCAGCACCTGCGCGTGCACACGGGCGAGAAGCCCTTCGCCTGCCCCGAGTGCGGCCAGCGCTTCAGCCAGCGGCTCAAGCTCACGCGCCACCAGCGGACACACACCGGCGAAAAGCCCTACCACTGCGGCGAGTGCGGCCTGGGCTTCACGCAGGTCTCGCGGCTCACCGAGCACCGGCGCATCCACACCGGCGAGCGGCCCTTCGCCTGCCCCGAGTGCGGCCAGCGCTTCCGGCAGCACGCCAACCTCACGCAGCACCGGCGCATCCACACAGGCGAGCGGCCCTACGCATGCCCGGAGTGCGGCAAGGCCTTCCGCCAGCGGCCGACGCTCACGCAGCACCTGCGCACGCACCGGCGCGAAAAGCCCTTCGCCTGCCAGGACTGCGGCCGCCGCTTCCACCAGAGCACCAAGCTCATCCAGCACCAGCGCGTCCACAGTGCCGAGTAGCTGTGGCCAGGCCACACCGCAGCCACCCTGGTAGGGACCCTACCTCGCAGGGTTGTTGTGAGGACGGCGATCACGTGGGTACGAACAGGCCCGTCCAGGGCCTGAACCAAATAGGTGCTCAATAAACAGTAGATGGAAACTGGGTCTCCACCCACTCGGTGTCTCCCCACCTTAGTGGTCACACTCACCGTGCTGTGCTCCCTCTGCACCTACGTGATTCCTGTGAGGGCCACCCGTCCCTCTCCACCCCCCGCAGAGGTGGCTGCTAGCATCACCTGCTCCTGTGCATGGGATAGACACTGGACACACTGCCTGTGGCTTACACTGAAGGAATGGTCCGCCAGTAGGCGGGGCAGAGCAGCCTTGGGCAGTACAGCCTCAGGTCACCCTGGGCAGCTGACCTCAGTTTCAACTCCAGAGAGAAGGAAATGTTCTCTGTGAGCATCTGCCTAGAGCCTACACATGTGTCGCACGACACCATGCTACCTAGGTGTTAGGTGATTGATGGGTCACTGGAAAAGAGTCACTCAAGCTGTCATGGAAGTGGGGAAGGTAGGAACTGCAGGGAGCAGCTGGACCCTTAGGACTAGAGGAACAAAGGGAAGCAGTTCAACATAGAAGAAGCTACAATGAGTTTCCCATGAAGTTGAAACTCAGGTCCCTGAGAAAGGGGCTGCTGCTGGGCTGTTCCCAGGGTTTCGGACCACCAAGAGGCCCTATGGGCCTGGGACCCAGAGGTCTTGGAGGGGGTGCTATTCAGCTGATCCTGGGATTGCTGGGCTTGGAGGATGCTCCATGGGCCTAGGATGAAACTCCAGAGGGGGCATCAGTGCAGGTGTCTCTAAAGGACCCAATGAGCCTGGTGTGTAAGAATTGCTTCTGGAAGGACCTACTGCTGCCCTAGTCTTTTCTTCCTTCCCAACTCCTGTTTCACTCAGTCCCCTATCAGAGCTGCAGGTGAATAGGTCTGAGTTTGTAGTCTCTGCCCTGCGCAATGATGCCTAGGTGGACAGGTGTGGAGCCCAGCCCTTCTTAGGTGGTGACACTGCACAGCATCTTCCCTTGACATGCAACCTCCAAGGAATTGGGAGAACACTCAGTCCCCAGGGGGATTACCAGCCTCCTGAGCCCAAGTCCTCCAGCTTGCTTCAAATCAGCCCTTATGATTTCCATCCCACCTCTTCCACCCCCAGCTCATTTTTCAGTCAGCTCCAACCTAATGACATCCCACCTCATCCCTGCAATAAGTAGGAGTTGCTGGAGAGGTAGTACTCATGGAGACTCTCATCCTCCCCCTGTGGGTTCACAGCATTTCTGACAGCTGGAAGCCTAGTATTCCATTTAGACTCACCAACCAAGGTTTGTGGGTGGCACTGTGCCTAAACTGTGATACTTGAGACCTGCACACCCCTCTTGTTGTGGTTATACCTGAGGCACCGGACCGAGCCAAACCCCAAAAGAGGACCCTAACAGGCCCGATTTTCCTCAGCCAACCAAGATCACTGGATACAGTGAAAAGAGCAAACTGGCACCTGGCAAGTCACATTCCACCTGATATCTTTATTAAACTATTTTACACCTGGGAAACCATTTCCTCGGTTTAAAAGCTGGCAGGTCTCACCTGGAAATTCAGGGTTTTCAGGACTTTCCTGTTCCCATGTACAACTAGCAGGCTCTGAGGGCACAGAAGGACCCTGCAGTCAGGGCCCCACCAGTCTGGTTATCATTTCCATCATTTGGGCTAAAGGCTCCTCCCACCCTGTCCCTGTAGGAGTCCACAAGAAATCACCCACATGGAATCCCCCACATGGGAGTACATTCAGCAGCAAGTCACAGGAAATGCAGCTGACAGCAGCACATGTAAAAGTGGACAAAATGCTGCCAGTGCAGATTCAGCTTCCTGCAGACTTCAGCGCAGCATCTCCAGAACCCATGCCATTGCCTCTTCTGCCTTACCATCTTCTTCCATCCTACTGGCTAGGACCTTGACACAGCCCCCCAACTCTCCTGGTGGGTGCCTTGGGGGCAGGTAACACAGGGTGAAAGGCAATTTCAAACAAGAGGGCTGCATGCAGCAAGGTCCTACTTGAGCCCTACACCCCAGTTAAGGTGTCACTCTGAGCAGGTGTCAGTCTAGCCTAAGCCTGGGCATTTCCAGAAACGGCTTGTGGCCTGTGTATCCAACCTTCTTCCAGGGGTGTAGCTAGACTTTCCCCTGCTGCTTCAAGTCACAAGACTGGAGCCCTGTCCTCAGGGGAAAGGACACAAGCCAGCCTGGACCAGAGGCCACTCCTTGGCAGGGATCTGTATGTAGAGCAGAGGGGTGGGGACTGAGCCTCCTAGCAGGCAAGTGCTACCATACTATTAGCAGAGCTAAGGACCTGGACAGAATGACCACTTGGCCCCACACAGCCACGAGAGGAATCCAGGAAAGGAACGTCCAAGGCCCTGGTCAACTGACACAGCTATAACAATGGCCCCAGGCAGCCTGTTTCTGCATGGTCTGCACCTGAGGCCACACTGTTTGCTCCCAGGCCCAGCACCCCTTCCCCGCAATGCCACATCCATCCAACTGTTTTCACCCCAACTCCAGCCTCCCTGATTCTACTTCTTTTTTTTTTTGAGTTGGAGTCTCACTCTGTCACCCAGACTGGAGTGCAGTGGCCACTCCCAGCCACCACAGCCTCGACCTGCTGGGCTCCGGCGATCCTTCCGCCTCAGCCTTCCAAATAGCTGGAATTACAGGCATGTGCTACCACACCCGGCTGATTTTTTGATTTATTGTAGAGATGAGGTCTCACCAAGTTGCCCAGGCGGGTCTTGAACCCGCGGGCTCAGGCAATCCACTCACCTCAGTCTCCCAAAGGCGCAGGATTACAGGCTGAGCCACCGAGCCCAGCCCTGATTTTACTTCTTTCTACTCTTCAGCACCGCTCTAATCCCCATTGCTGGCCTTGCCAACTAAGGCACCACCCATCAGCCTCCTTTCCCTGCCTGCTCCCACCCCTCTTCTACAAAACTACCTGTCTTCCCAGTGTCAGCTCCCAGAAATTACACCAACGCCCATATCTGCACGTCCAACCTTATTCCTAGCCCACTGTGCTCTGCCTATCCCCACTGAGGCACTGGCCTTGGCTTTCCTCAGGACCTTTGCACATGCCAAGCTGTTACCTCCCCAAAAGTAGCAGCCTCCCCAAAAGTAGAAGCTACAGGCACGGTCACCTCCTAAGCCACCCAACTCCTGCACTCTCTTACCACTTAGGCAGCTCTGAGAGTGATGAGGAAGACACACCTGCACAACATCCAACCCAGCCCCCAGCTTCAGTTCAGCCATCCCCTCCTCCCTGGTCTGGACCCCATGACCTCCTTCCAGCAGGTTGTTGCTTAGTTGATGGTCTTTGCCACTGGATGATAAGCCATGAGGTCAAAGACCACTCGAGTCCAGCTTTGGCTAGCCCAGCAACACACCTCTGGGGGACCTAGATGGGCCCTCAGCAGTGGACCCAAGGGTGACACATGGGCAGGTTAGCAAATAGGAGCCACCCCGAGACTCGATGGATACACCAAAATGGTCCACTGCCTTGTGGAAACGGCAGGGCAGCTGAGAATGAAGAGGGACAGAGAGGAAGACTAAGTCTGGAGGGGCCCTCTGAGTCCCAGAACCAGTCTCGTGTGAAGCCTGAGGAAGAAGAAACGACTGAAGTCATGAAGCCCAAGCTGCCTGAAGCTCCTGAGCCCCATCCTCACCGGAGGCCTCTCTAGTCCTCAGCTCTTAAGGGCAAAGGCAAGAAAGGATGCGGGGGCGCGAGGCTGGGACAACTGAGGGCTGAAGCGGGGGAGTGTCTTTGAGGGTAGGATAGGGCACCGAAGCCAGAAGAGGCAAAAGGCGGAGCGGCAGCAGAAACACAGCTGCCAACAGCCCACGGGGCCGAAGGTGCCCGGCACGCACGGGGAAGGGCCTCCGCGGAGGCCAGGGCCAGGAGCGGCGCCAGACTGAGGTCCGAAATGGCGAAGGCAACCCCCAAGGCGAGACAGGCCCGAGCAGGCGCTGAGGGAACGGGGGGCGAGGTGAGGGGCGAGCGCCAGGCTGGGCCCGAGCTGAGGCCCGCGGACCCGGGTGGGGTCGATGGAAGACTCGTCCCACAGCATAACGAGCCCGTGAGCACGCCTGCCTGGCCTCACCACGGCCTGTGTGCACCGTCAGGACCGCGTCTTTCACGACACTCCGGCGACCAAAGGGGACGTGCCGAGGAGCCGCACTCAGGACACCGAGAGCAAGAGCGGTGGCGGCTCGGCCACCCGCCGCTCACAGGCCGGAAGTCGCTGCCCCGCAGATAGCCGCTTCCTCCCGCCTTCCTGGCACGCTGAGCTGTGATTGGGCGGAAGGCTGACACCGCCCACACGGCCCCGGCTCCTGACACAGGGCGAACAGTCGAGGCCGCAGTGCGCCTTGGTGGGCACGGCTCCACCCCCGCGTCCTGTCCCACAAGTGTTCACCGCCGACGGGTCTTCTCGTACAACTCCTGTAAACTTCCAGGGCTTACCGCTCTCTAACACATTGTGTTTTCTTAGTTTACCTCAATCAGAATCTCCATCAGCTTTGGGTTTGCGATGGGACACGGAGGGTGCTCGATCCCGTACCCTCTGGGCAACGCCCTAGACCTCGTACCCTCTGGCCGCGACCACCCTGCCTTTGTCTGTGACCTACGGGGCCAAAGACCTTGTCTGATCCACCCCCGCCGTGCTCAGCAGAAAAGGAATACAGGACGGAACGACGGCGAGCAGAGCGGCCCGTATCCGCCCCACTTAAAGATGGCGGTCAACACCGCTTCCTGCCCGGCCCAGCAAGGGTTCCCGGAAGTGACCGCAGGATAGCCGAAGCACCATCTCCACGAACGGAAATACCCGAGTCCAGCCGAAGAAGTCCGAAGCCCCAACCCCACCGTGGAGCGACGCGGTTTTGCGGCGGCCGCGCAGGCGTAGAACGCAAGCGGGGGGCCGAGCTGAAGCGGGCAAGTGGCGGAAATATCCGAAGCCGTGGGGCGCCCGAGGCCGTTGCTGACCTCGGCGCCGAAGCTGCTGCCGCCGCCGCCGCAGAAGCTGCGCCTCCTCCAGTACACGGCCGCCGCCTCCTCCTTCCACCCTGAGCTGCAGCCCCCTCGCGGAGGGGTCAACTGAGCGGGCAGGTGGCGCAGCCCAGGAAGCTCCGCGTCTGAAGCTGCGGCAGGGCCTGAGACCAGAGCGGGCGAGAGGAGGAAGGAGCGGCCGGGAAGGCGGGGGCGGTGCCGAGCGCGCCCGAGAACATCCGAGTGCGGCCGAACGCGGCCGAACGAGCCCGAGGCGCCGGGCCAGGCCGGAGCCCTACTACGGGAGCCGAGGCGGGCCGCGCGGTGGGCGCGGAGCGGCGCGGCGGGCCGGGCGAGCGGCGGCAGCGGCGGAGGAGGCCGCGGCGGCGGGTCCGAGGAGCGGGGG